GTGCACCCATGTTCATAGCAGCAAAATTTCTAATAGCTAAAATTTGGAAGCAGCCCAGTTCCCCATCAACTAGAGACTGGGTAAAGAAAATGTGGGTTTTTTAAAATAATAAAATGGAGTACTACTCAGCCATAAAGAATGAGGAATTAGAGACATTTATAGCTAAATGGAGGCACTTTGAGGCTATACTCTTAAGTGAAAAAAATAGGACACACATGTGTAAATACTGAATAGTTTCTGTAGTGTGAAAACCAGAAAGTGTAAATAAGGACTAAAGGGTATATAGATAATATGAAATAGGAAGAAAAGGGGCAAAGGGGAAGGGGAAGTGGGAGGGGTAGAGAAAAAGAAAGATGGGTATGGAATTAATTTGAGAAAATGAAAAAATGGCAACAAAGTCTTTGTAAATAGGGAGGGATGGAGGGGTTAAAGAGAGGGCAGGGGAATGGGGAAAAATAATTATCAAGAGAGAGTACATAAAGGTGCAAATTTCCAATAATGAATGTTATTACATTGTATACCTAAAACATACCAATAAAATTAATAAAATATAAATAAATGAAGTGTATGGCTTTTCAGCAACCAAGGTCTCCTCTGATCCATCTTTGCCATCCACAACTTTATTGGAGCCTTCTTTCTGGCAAAACTCAAACTTTTTAAATCATTCTGCTGGGCTCTTTTCTTTGGATTCTCAACATCAATGTGGCTAAAAGCCCACAACCGTAGCCATGCCACTACCTCAACATTAGACTTCTTTGAAATTTCTTGCACCAGATTAGTTCATCTGCCCCACTAACCTCAGTCTCCTGCAAAGTCTCTGGATAGGAGCAAATTGCAGACATATTTTCTGCCAGAGTATAACACACATGTCTGGAGTCCAACTGCCAATAGAATACTTTCCAATTGAAATCTTTGGGCTTGGTATTTTCCAGATACATTATAGTCAACATTTTAGTCTTCTGAGGTTCAACCAGAATCTTCTATCAAGTTCAGCTCATAAGATCCTAGGGCTGCATCTCCAGCTAGCATTGCCAAACCTTTCCAAACTCATCTGGCAAGCCAGTTCCAAAGTTTTCTAGACCATATGGTCAGGTACTGTCATAGCAACAACCCTACCCTCAATACCAAAATCTGTCTTGGTTACTTTCTTGTTGCTGGGACAAAATATCCAATACCCACAGTTCATTTAGGAAAGATTTATTTTTAGCTCACAATTTATAAAGGTTTCACTCCATAGCCAGCTGGCTGCAAGGCAGGGAAGCATGGCAGAGGTGTAAGGCAAAGAAGAAGCAGTCCATAAAATGGCAAGCAGGAAGCAGCAAAGCAGAAGCAGCAAGCCTTTCTTTCCCTTTTATCCCATTCAGGCTACAAGCCTACTGATGATGGCTCCCACACCCAGGGTGGGTCTTCCCATTATTCACACCCAGAGCTATGCTAAACCAATTAGGGGACTAATTTAACTATCACACATCCTTAATCCATATTCACACAACCAAGCTCCAGCCAGTACTGAAAAGCCCCACCTATGAGTGCCTGTAGCATTGGAGGAGATGTCTAGATATAAGCCATAACAGTATTTTAGCAAATTACTTTATATTAAGGGAGACAGAGAGCTTGTAAGATATATATTTATTTTTCTGTAATTTTTAACCTACTTATTTCCAAAAAGTGCTTTTTGTCTTATTGAGAACTTTTCATGGGAAAGTTAACCTATGCCAATGGTACTCATATTGAACAATTTGAACCTCAGGAGATATATGTCCATGTCTAGAAATATTTCTGATTGTCATAATTGGTAGTTGCTTCTGGCATCTTGTAGGGAGAGGTCAGGCATGCTGCTCAATATTCTATTGGCACAAGTCAGACCCCACAGGAAAGACTTGCTAACCCAAAATTCCAATCATGTCAAGCTGAGAAACATGAGCTAAGATGAACCACTTATTCAGAGATGAGTAACTGAACTTCAAAAATGGGCAGAGATGTGTGCCAAGCTACACCATGAACAAAGAAAAGAGAAAAGTCTTCATGTGTTTTTCCCATCACACTACATTTTAAGAACTAAAGTTCTAAAAAAGATGTTAGAAAATAGTTTATTGTGGACATATTTCAACTTCAGATTACTAAATAATTACATAAAACTTTAAAACAGTATTGCTAACATTAGAATATCTAGGCAATGAGAAAAACAGGATTTAATTATGTGATCCATATTTGTATGTAATAACAACTGTTTTTATGATATTTAACTGAGCTGCTGCCTAGCATAGTGGGTCTCTAACTTTAGTGTCTCTCGTGATCACCTGGAAGATTTTTAAGAAAACAAATTGCTAGAAGCCAGCTTCAGTGGTTCTGGCTCGGTAGGGCTGGAGAAGCCTGAAATCTGCACTCTCAACAGGTCCACAAGTAGTGCTGCTGCTGTTGCTGGTCAGGACAGCACTTTGAGAATAACTGGCCCAGCCTTTGGTAGGCACTTAGTAAATACTGATCTAATATAAAAGGCATTTAAAACTATAATCTTCCTAAAAACATCATCGCACTGTAGGATAGATTGATTAATAATGCTACTTCCTATAGAGGAACACAATTAGATCAATGGCAGAAACAAGTCAAAGTCATGTCTCACTTAGTTCAAATTCCTTCTTTTACAAATAAAGAAATCAATGTATTTTCAGTTTATCACAAGAAAGAGTAACTCTTTTTTAGTAAAAACCAATAGAAACAACATTAAACATCAATCATGTATACACAGTTTAGGCAATGACAATGCTGTCTTATATATAAATTTAAAGTTTATAAGTACAGTTAAGTATGTATGCCTCATTTTTAACATTGTATTTTTGAAGACTAGTCCAACTGCCAAATTGAGTAAACCCTGGCATGACAGGGCTCTTGTGCCAAGTTACATCTATGGAGAAATGCCTATTGATATCAGTAATATAAAATCAGGCTCCAAGGGACCATAACTGTCTCTTCAAATTATTAGGGAAAACATGTTCATGTTTAAGCAAGTCAATACAGCATAAAAGCAGTATATTTGCATCATAAATAATCAATGTGCTACTGTTAATCATGGTTAATAGAGTGAAAAGTACTCCTAAGGAAATTGAGATCAGTAACAGTCGTTTTCATTTCTTTAACTTAATTTTTAAAAGGCCAGAAATTTCATATACTTTAAAATGACTTTTTTACCTTGGGAATGTTCTGTAATTAACCTCCCTCATGCCAGGCTTCTCTGACAGACACCCAATCAAAGTACTGATAATCAACTTTCCATTTAGCTTTTTGAGATCATGAAGATGTTTACACAGCCTTCAATTCCCTCACTCATAGCATCTTGTCCAAGGCATGAAATTCCCTTGCCAAGGATGCATAGGAAGCCAAATGCTCTCAAATATGCTGCATTTGCCCTCAACTTTTAAAATATCCATCTATCTTTTAATTTGGGTACCATCTGTTGTATCATCCTTAGCTAAATCATACTAAATAATATTAAAATTTCTTGCCAGTGTCATATTGCTATAGCACTCTTACCCTGCTACTTCTTCAGGCTTTCTGCAGCATTCAAGAAGAACCTGCTATTTTAACTAATTTCTGTTACTAATAGGACACAGTGTGAGAGTCTAAAACAGAATCAGTGTTAAACTGTTTCTACTTTTACTCATACAGTGAATAAGTGTTCACTTCAAACCTGGGATCTTCCCTCTAAGTCTCCTAATCACAGCCTGGTTTGAGCCAATGCAGTTAGCCCAGCGTCACACTGTGCTAGTGTCGAATGGCGCTCGTACTGCAGTATTCACCTTGAAACTAAGTAGGCAGGATTTATTATTTGTGGAAGTCACCTAACTGCCAGGTTACACAGGCTTCATTCTTATCTTATCACACATAATAATAACAGAAGACGAATACAGGCAGACATATGGCTCATTTACAAGGGAAACAAATTTGGAATCAGAGACAAGGGCAATGTAACAGCCAAGAACTGCAGTAAATCTCTTCCAGCTAATAGCCACATCTAACAATGCTCTCCTGCAATACCTCTGATCAAACAGATTGTATTCAGAGTTTAAACAGCAAATCCACATTCATTCCTTAACAGTTAAACATGGTGCTATCTAAGAAAATTCTAATTTATGATATTTTTACTCATTATATGTTTCAAAACTAGGATTACTGATTTACTACGCTTATTCAAGCATACTAACAGAATTGGAATCTCTTAGTAACATTTCTTCACACCTTTCAGCATGGCTGAAGATTATAGTATATAAGCCACTGAATCATGCAAAAATATTTACCCCCAAAAGTTGTAGTAAAAGCTCAGCTTCCTCCAGCCTCCATAGCCCCTGAAGTGTTAATCTGAAGAAACAGTTCCATGAGTTTCCACAGGCCAGCAGTGAGTCTCCTACACTTGACCTAGACAGCCTTACATAACGAAGCATCAGTGCTGGGGAGCTTGCTGAATGTCATCACTAGCAAGAATAAGGAGTATTGGCAGCAGTAGGCAAGCAGGGAGTTTGCATGGAAATCATGAATTCTTTCTTGCCTTTCTCTTTTGAAATCCTTTTGAAGGAGAGTTAAGAATAGTGCAAATGTCTCTCTCTCTCTCTGTCTTCCTCTCTCTCTCTCTCTCTCTCTCTCTTTGTTTCTCTCTCTCTCTCCCTCTCTCTCTCTCTTCTCTTTTTTTGCATGAGAAGAATAATCTGAACCATAAAAGCTAAATCTTCCAGCAAGTGCAAGACACTTCCTTGGTATTTGCAGTAAACCTAACAGGATGAATCACTGCCTATAAAGTCCTATGCCATAACACACAAAATGAAGGGAATGGCACAGCAATGTAATAGCACTAAGGCTGCCTCCGAGAGCTTTTGTCTACCTTTAACTCATTGTGGTGAGTATAGGGCAATGTATGTCTGTATATTGAAATGTTAGTTGGGAGTGTGAATTGTTTTGCATGATGATACCAAAGTATTTGCAAAGACCATTCATGTTCTTTAAACACCATTTTGTAAGCAAGATGATAACATTTTTACTCTTGAACATTAAATTCAGAATGTGACAGGCTATATTTATTATGCATTTCAACTTCTGAAACTGACATGCCGATAATAAGGAAAACAGGTACCTATCTCTAGTGGCCTCTACATAGATCTCATGTGTGCTGATTACTCCTATTGTCTATACCTGAAAATAAGATCTGAGTTCCAGTATCAGATTTTGCATAAAGTGAATCATTTTTTTTTAGATTTTGAAAACAATTTCTCAGCATAGAGAAAGGGGATTGCTATTCTTTTGAGATAATCTTTGCTAGATTCACTCTCAGCTATCTGGGGGATACTTTATACAGCAAATTAAAAACAGTATACTCTCCAGCTAACTTTCAATTATCTCAAATGTATGCAATACAAGTTACACTCTTAAGAGCTAGGAATAATAAATTCAGTCCTCTCTTCCAATATGGGATTATTAATATAAGCAGCATTATATTGTTTAATTATATATAAAACTGTGGTTTTATATGGGTTGTGGGTGAAGACATATCATTCCTGAGGCAACAGTAATAGAGAAGCCATGCATCATTTAAAAATAATCTTAATGTTCTGCTCTTAGCTGGGAAGCTTTCTGCTAATGCATCACACTGAGAATAGAGTGAGGAAACAAGAGAATTTAGGTCTACAGAAGAACACAGTGATCTAATTCCATCCCCTCATATAACTCAGAAGGAAACTAAAGTGAATAGAAGTGAAAGGATGAGTTTAAGCTGACGCAGAGGAAGAGGTGAGTAGATGATGGTTTTCCTCAAATTTGCCCAGTGTTTTGCCATTATACTATCATAAAGAATTGTCTTTTAATACTGGAGTGAAGACTTGGTGCACAATGATTTTTTATTAATCACAGAAATTTAAGAAAACAAAGTGGAATTGTACTAAATATCTGCTTTTTGCAGTAATCTGATTTTGGAAAAAACAAGTTCTGTAGTGGAGAGAATGAGAATTTATTTCCCACAACTATAAATAAGAGATATGTTGGTGCAGCATTTAATTAAATTCTCAGATTATGAAATGGTGTTCTGAACCGTAAGTGATGTAAACTATGATTGTGTTTCCGGTGGTTTTATTCTGTTAATGTTGATTGTGTTGCTAGGTGTTCCATCTCTTGGAGAGCTAATGCAGGTGAAATAAACAGCTTACAGGAATCAAGGAACTGGAAAGTAGAGTGTTTTTATAAAGATTCTCTTTCAAATAAACTAAGCCTCTTGCAATCAGGCACTTTTTCATCTTTGCATCTCTTTTCCTAAGATAGTGCTTATTCAGCTTTTGGTAAATGTTGAATGAAAAAATGCAAGAGTGAAAAGCATTCATATTATGTTCAACTATGGGAACTGGATCTACCATGACCTAGTAGAAGTCTTTGGAGGAGTCATTTTAAGTAGTGTATAAGAATGTTTAAAAAACTTTACATCAGCTAAGTAATTGCCTAAGTAAGTGAATGTTTTTGTAATACTTATTTGGAAACTTATAAAAAAATTTTTGTATTCTTCTAATGAGACCGGTTGGCATAGGATTGGATGCTCATAAGAAATTGTCTAGTGTTCAATAGATTAACCAATTAACAAAAGAAAGTACAAGCTTTCTTTTTCTATAGTGTCATTAATTCTGGAGTACTTCAGAGCAAGTCTGGCAGAATCCTTGCCTTTAGGGGCATAAACTCTTATTTCTTTCTTTTAATCATCCTTAGCCCATTACTTCCATCATCCTGTCTGTTTTACTTTGTTTTGTCTTAAGGTGCTGGAGATCAAACCCAGGATCTCATGTTTGCTAGGGTATACCCAGTGAGTTATACTTCTAGCCACTGTCCTCCCTCCTATTTGTTGCCTCATGGTTTCAAAATGGCTGCTCCATGTCCAGCATCCTGACTATATTCTAGGCAAATGAATAAGAAAAGTAAAACTCGTAAGAAATGTGCCAGTTGAATCAATTCTTTCTCAAGAACTTTCCCAGAAAATGACCAAGAGACTAACTTGTTTTATGGTTCTTAACTGTGGAAAATGCCCAGGAATAATTATGTATTTTAGCCAAGCCCAATGCCACCCCCAAATGAAGTTGAAATCTATTTTTAAGACAAATGAGACACTTCTTCCTTTAACATATAGCTTTGGTTACTAGTAAAAATCCTAAAGCACTCATCTTAATCAGATGTTTGAACAGGTTTATAAGCTCAAAACACAAAAGATATTTTGTTTTACATCTGGATGTTCACTGGAAAAAAGTATGCTACTTTTGCAATAGAACATTACTTGGACAACACATGGGTTTGTCAACACACTGTAGTCAAATGAATGCAAAGAGCAAATAGCAGACACGAAAAAGAAGAAAACAGTTCCTGTCCTGTTTCAGCCCACACTCACCCCAAAGTAAATTCGTACAAAGTAATTTATTTCTAAAAAGTTTCTGATTATGAAAGAATAAATGGATGGTAATTAACACACCAACTCACAGAATCTCTGTAATTACTAAGAGAAATGTTGTCTCACTAATTTAGAAAAGAGATCTTTATGAAGGATTTTTCTCTTTCAGCTGTTTTCTTACTGAAATCACAAACATTGACTGGCCTGTGGCTCCTCCTGTCTGGTCCATGGAAGGACTTTATAGATTCCTCCAATTTGATTTCAAGAATGCTTCTTCAGAGCAGAAGCCATTCTTCATATTGGGACAAGGAATAATACTGACATTTTGGAAAGGTCTTTGAGCAAGATAGCTCCTCTATCCAAACACTTTAGGCTTGAAGAGAGTTTCTGGGAAGACTAGAGTAGAAGTTTTCTAATTTCAGAGGTAACAATGATGTTCTTCTTAGTTTCTATTATATCGAACGTTCCTATAGAATGTAGTTGACTTCTGAATCTAAGTCCCAATCTCCTACTCAGAAACATTTGCACATTGCACTAGCTCCTGGTTTGTTGAAAAGCCAGACAGAGCAGAGTATGCATTTTACTCTTACAAAATATAAGAGAAATTCTTAGCAAAGCATCAGACTATATTCAGCCTAAGTGGAGACTGGAGAATTAAAAGATAGTAACTAGCAGGTATGAATTTTCTAAAACACTGATTTAAGGGAGAACAAAACTGCAACTTTCTCCATTTTTCTATAAATTAATTTAATTTGTAATAGTGTACTATTTTTACCTGAAGGCAGAAAAATCAATTATTTTTGTGTTCACTCAATCATTATAGTAATTTTCAGATATTTCAGGTTTAACTCAGTAAAATGTGCACTTTTTACTTTTGCTGTTTATATTACTTACATTAAGGTTGCCTTTGATACAAATATACCTCAAAGTCTGGGTAGTTTAGCATGATGAAATCATAGTCCTTCTTCATGTAAAGTTCTTTAGTTATGCCTGGTTGGCAGATGAAATCCATGTGATTATTCATGGACTCAAGAACCTTCAATATTATAGTACCTCTTACCTGTAGGTGTTCAGAGTCAGATGACAGAAAAAAGTTCATGAAGAATCTCACCTACCTTTTCAGCCCAGAAGGGAAGCATGTGACTGGCTTATGTTTCAATGAGAAATAGTCACATAATCCCATCTAGATGTAATGGAAAGGTGAGAGATGTTTTCCGCAGCTTGGCAGCCACTTCCGAGAAAGGAGAATGAATGTTGGTGATCCCCAAGCTAACTCTGCCTACTCTTCATCTTTGCAGTTGAAACTTTTTTTTTTTTTTGCATCTTTTTGTCAATCATCTATTTTCTGAGATCAAGTTGGAGAACTAAGAGAAGGCAATATGTGTGTTGGGGAGGAGATTCCTCTTTGCATTGATGGTATGATTGATTATATTTTGCACTTTAAAATAGGATTGACTCCAATTTCTTCTACTCACAGAGAGAAGATAATTTTAATATAGATTTTTAAATTTCTACATTATAGTACTTAGAATTTAGGTCTCTTTTACATTTTAGCTAACATATTATAAATCGCTGTAGTTTTCAGGTACTACAGGAAATATGACTCATCTCCATGAACCTTAAAATCATGGTTTCTGAACCTACTACCCACTTTGATAATAGCATTTAGCTATTATTCAGCTAACATCTTGGATATCACCTCTGCAGAGTTGGCAGGATATAATAAGGAGCAAAGAAGATGGGAAGCCTGTATCACAGAAGAAAATTTTTCATAAAGCCTTAGCAGACATCTTCCTATGTTTCATTGGCCACAGTTATTATACGGCTATTTATAGGAACAAAGGAGGGGACTGGAGAAATATATTATTCAAACTGGGTTCATAGATATTTCAAAGAAAATTGATTTCTCTTAGTATTGAGGTTTATATCTAGACATCGCCTAGGAGCCTCATGTTCTCAAAGGTGAGGCTTTTAAGGGCGACTGGATTATTGAAGTGGTAAGTGTGACTTTTGGCAGGAGGTGGGGCTTATATAGAGTTGGGTCACTGGAGTCATGACCTAGAAAGGTATATCTCTTTTCCTGGTTCCTCCCTTCTTTCTCTGCTTCCTCACTGCTATAATTTGAGCAGCTTTCCTCACTCAGGCTCTTTTACCATGCCCTCCTGCACTGGACCCAGTGAACACTTGACTGAAACCATTAAAAACTGTAAGCCAAGTTAAACCTCTCCTCATTTAAGTTGTATGTGTTGAGCATTGTATCTCACCCATGAGAAAGTGACTAAGACACTTAGTAAGGAAGAAGGTGAGAAAGAATATATGGCAGCCGAATAACAATGCCTATCCAATTCCAGGAGGTTCTCACATGAATCAAAATGATTTATGAGGGAAATCTGAAATAATGGAGAAATGGAATGGACATCAAAAATGTGGGTGTGGTGGTGCTTCCCAATAATCTCAACACCCTGGAAGAGTTTGTGGCAGAAGGGTGGCAAGTTCAAGCCCACCCTGGGTAACTTAGTGATTCAGCAAGACTCTACCTCAAAAAAAAATTTTTTTAAAGCTAAAATAGCTGAGAATATAGCTCAATGCAGGTCCTTGGTTCAATTCCTAATGCCAAAGGAGAAGGAGAAGAAGGAGAAAGAAATACTCCCCCCCCATTAAGTTTATTGGTACATTTTAGGTATTAAATACATTTACATACATCATTGGGATCTTGTACCATTACATGAGTATCTTGGTTCTTATTTTTTTCCTCTTCCCCTGCCCTCCCTTCACCCCCTCCACCCTTCCCGATTTGCAAAGATTTTGTTTCCATTTTTTTTTC